TCTCTTTCCATTAAGTCAGTGATGTCAATCAAATCCAAACTGGGGCCACTTAAGGATTTAATAAGTACTTAAGGGTTCCTGCAGTCTCATATTGACTGAGAAAACAACATATTAACCTTATGTAAGTTTTATTTTATTTATTTTGCAAAATATTTCTCAATTACATTTTAATCTAGTTCTAGCAGCATGTGGGAGTGTTGCAGCAATTGTGTGTTTGGCAACTTTATAAATGAAACCACATTTCAGCTACTTTGAAGTGTGGCCTAAATTAGAAGTTGTCTGCTTTCACCTGAGCCTCAAATCATAAGAAGAGGGAATGAGGGGAAGGGAAGCATTGTTCTTGAATAAATATTGATGGATAAAATGAGGTTAGCTTTGAAAAAGATATCTAGAATGTATACTTCTAAATTTTATAGCTTGTTTTTATAAAGGTATCTGGAAAGTATTCTTGAGTTGCATAAAAGTCGCACATATTCCATGACCATGTTTTTTTGTACCCAAAGTTGGGATATGTGGTCTGATACAGATCATCTTTTTGTAGAAACTCATGAAAAAAGATGCTTTTTTCATTGAAATTGGTATTGTCTCAGGAAATACACAATGTATGCTTGTGAAACAAGTATGTTCTTTGGAGGAAATGGGATACATAAAAGCAAAAGCCACTTAGCTAACTTCAAGGAATATTTATTAAGTGCTCACTACATTTAAGGTACTGTTAAGTGATGGGAACACAGAGGTGAAAGTAAGAAAGTAAACATTCTCCCCTCCCAAGGACCTTACTTTCTACTGGGCTGGCAGTGGTAACTGTGGGAAGATATATGTACATAGGTAAGTAATTAAAAGGTAATTTGAGGAGGGAAAGAGCATTAACAACTGAGGAAACTGGCTGTGTGAACGGAAATCCAAAAAGTATTTCAGTGGCAAGTGGCAACTGAGTTCAGCCTTAAAGGAAGGTAAGTATTTAAGAAGTGTAGGCTAGGACAGAGTGTGCCCCAGGCATGAAGGATAGCTTGTGAAAATGGGATGTTGAGTTCGGGGCGTAGCTAGAGGACTTGTCTGTCTGGAACCTGGAGGCAGCTAGGTGGCACAATGGAAGTGAGGGAGATCTGAGTTCAGATACAGTCTCAGATACTTACTAGTTGTATGCGTTTTCTCATCTGCAAAATGGGATAATAATAGCATCTATTTCCTAGGGTTGATGAGAGGATAAAATGAGGTAATATTTGTAAAGCCCTTTGCAAGCACTATATGAATACTGACTATTGTTATTATTGTTCTTATTAGAACAGTGTCTAATAGAATAGAGAATTAGAGCATCTAAAAGGAATAAGACATATCTGGAAAGGCTAATGGAAGCCAAGTAGTACAGAACTTTAAATGAAAGGCTCAGAAGTTTGTATTTTACCATAGAGGCAATAGGAAGCACTGAAAATTTTTGAGCAGTAATATTATATGATCTTTGCCTTAGGGTGATTATTCTGGCAGCTGTGTGGAAAATAGATTAAAGAAGGAAGAGGCAGGAAGCAGGGAAACCAATTAAGAGGATATTGTAATGGTTTGGGTGAGAAGTAAATAGGAGGACCTGAAGTAATAGATGCAGTGATTGGGAGAGTGAAGAAGACAGATGGGAAATGTTGTGAAGGTGAATTCCCCAAATTTTTGGTAATTTACTTTATATGTTGAGGTAAGGAAGAAGGAAGAGTCAAAGATGACTCAAAGTCTATGAACCTGGGGGAATGAAAGGATGGTGGTGACCTCAGCAGAAATAGGGACACGTGGAGGAGGGACAACTTTAGAAGGCAAGAAAAGAAGTTCTGTTTTGGACATGTTGAATTTCAATTTTAATAATAAAATAGAATAGATATTTTATAAAGGGAAGCACACCAATTTTATTTCATTATTATTATATCTTAAAAAGCACATATTATATAACATTAATCAATCATCTCTCTTACCATGATCTTATGGTAAAATATAGTGTTTAAGAGAGGGAGGCAAATGGAGCCTGAAGGGAGCTGATGAACTGAGATAATAGGAAGGGATCTAGAGGATTAAAGTCACAATGAAAAAAGAAGAAAGGTTCAATAGGAGTAAAGGAGGCAGTGTGTAGCACAGGGGAATGCTTTACAACAGGGATTCTTAGCCTTTTTTGCACCCTTTGACAGACTGTTAAAGCCTATGAACACTTCAGAATACAATTTTAAATTAATAAGATAAAATAAATAAGATTACAAAGACAATTGATTACATTAAAAACAGTTATCAAAATATACTTTTAAAAAAGTTTACAGAAGCCAGGTTAAGAATTCTAGCTTCTGAGTCAAAGCCTATAGGTTCCAGTCTACTCTCTAATGTTTATTACCTGCAGGTCTGGTCAGGTTTTTTTTTTTTCTCTTAATAGCTAGAAAGAAGTGATAGATGTTCTTACTTCCTATTTAAAAGGAGATGCCTTGACTTGAATGAAAGTCTTGTAAGTTCAGTGACCAAATTATTGAATCAAAAGTTGGGACACAAAGAGAGGCAAAAGATACTCCATCTACATAGAGTCATTAAAATAATGCTTTGTTTTCCTGAAATTGGCACTCTCAGAAAATCCACAATGTATAGTTGTCACATATGTATACATGTGTGTATATATGTGTACATATTATGTTCCATTTTTATATCAGAAGAAATAGATAAATCACTTAACCTTCCTCTGCCTCAACTTCTTTATATGGAAAATAATTTGTTGTTTAGACATGTCCAACTCTTTGTGACCTCATGGGCCAAGCCCTTGTATTCTTCACTATCTAAGTCTGTCCAAGTTCATGTTTGTTGTTTCCATGACACTATCTATCCATCTCATCTTCTGCCACCTTTTGCCTTCAATCTTTCCCAACATTAGGGTCTTTTTCAATGAGTCCCATCTTATCATTATGTGGCCAAAGTATTTAAGCTTCAGCTTCAGTATTTGACCTTCCAGTGAATAGCCTGAATTAATTTCTTTAAGGATTGATTGATTTGATCTCCTTGCAGTCCAAGGAACTCTCAAAAGTCTTCTCTTAGCACCATGATTCAAAAGTGTCAAATCTGTGGCACTTGGCTTTCCTTATAGTCCAGTTCTCACAGCCATATATTGCTACTGGAAAGACCACAGTTTTGACTATGCAGACCTTTGTTGGCAAGGTGATGTCTCCGCTTTTCAGTGTGCTGTCCAGACTTGCCATAGCTTTCCTTCCAAGGAGCAAGAGAGCAAGTACCTTTTAATTTCATAGAGTTGACCTAAACGCCATCTGATATTTCCTCCAGCTCTAGAGCTATGATCTTGTGATGAATGGAACACAAGAAACAGAGTTTATGATTTGGGAGATTGGAACCTTCATGAGGTTCAATAAAATAATATTATAATAGGGTTTTGATATGTTAAGACAAAACATGCTAGTCACATTTATTAATATTCATATATTATGATAATTTAATAAGTAATATTAATACGCTACTGAAATTATTGTGAAACATTGGTTGGGGGGTTACTCCAGCCACCCACTGGCATTGCCACATCTTTATTATCATTCAGAACTACCTTTGTCTAGAAGTGTGGGAGACTTAAAGGAATAGTAGCCTCCCTTAGAAAGGGCTGCAGGGGTAGTGGTGTCCCTTGGGGAAGTCCAGATTTCAATTTAGGTGAGGAGGTGGTGAGAACATCTCTGTGGCCGTGAGGACTTTATTCATAGTGGTACTGTAGTTCCATAGGGCATGATACAAAGAACTTGCTGGCAGGGTAGGCAGAGAAAGAAGAGGGAGTTTGGGAAGGGTAGGATTGAATTGGATAAGAATGAGAGTAAGTTAGGAAAAGGGAGTTGGAGAGAGGTTGATGACTAGGGTGGTAGGTGTGGTTAATGGAAGGATAGAAAAGCAGGAGGGAAGCTGGATGATCTGGGGAAATGTGGATTAGCTATTTGTTGTTATTAGAGGAGTGACCAACTTCATTCTTCCAGATGAAATGCTGGTGTATTAAAATTTTATTGAGACACTGAAGTCTCTGCAACTTAGTATCCAGCTGCTAGAGTCTTGACTTAATGATGGCTTTCCTACTCTTTGGAGAAGTGTCAAGCGGTGGCTGATAAGTGGTAGGCCTTAGCCATTTGCTCCCTGATTGCTGGGTGCTATATGGAGTCTTCTAGCAGCACAACTACCTAGAACCAGGTCCCAAGCCCAGAGCCAAGGCAAGACTTGGAACTATGTGAGATAAAGCCCAAGTAGTTGGAATACTGCCTCTATCCCTTACTTTCTGTGTGACCTTGGGCAAGTCTTGGGCAACCAGTCTGGGTCAGATTCCTCATCTATAAAATGAAGGACTGGGCTAGGTAGACTCTAAAGCTGCTTCTATGCATGCACAGTTTTAACAGCCTGAAAATCCCTTAGAATGCTAATTTAGAGATGAGACTGGAAAATCCTGGATTTAGAGTCAGAGGACACGGGTTCAAGTCCTGGAACTGACACTTATTTATTGAGTGACCTTAGAAAAGTCACCTCTTTGGGCCAAAATTTTCGCATGTATTTAATTATGAAATTGGACTAGATGATCTGTGTGGTCTTTTCCAGATCTAATTCTACGGTTTTTTGAATAGAGGCTGGGATGGGAAGCGGTCACTGCTTTTACCAGTGGACACGCATAACTGTGCTCTTTCCTCTATGCCACACTGTTTTAAGCTGCCATCTGGGTCTGATCTTTTGTGCAGTTGTGTATCCTCCATCATTCCTGCAGTCTGCTTGCCTTACATCAGTTTTCTCCAATACTTCTAATCTAAGTAATTGTGAAAAATTCGTGAGAGGAAGTATAGTAGGAGGGGCAAGGCATACAATTTGCTTTTAGATGATTTTTTCTAAGATAATAGACATCATTTTAACATCATTTATAAGTATAGAATATATTTTTATTCATCTAAATTTAAAATATAAATATATTTATATTTATAAATTAATTTATGGTTCCAGATAAATATGAGTTACAAAGGAGTTATGGATATGCATATATAATATTTATATATACATGTATAAATATTACAAATACCTACACATGTGTGTCTGGACTGATGATAAAATGGGTGTTAGGGAATGCCGGACACAAGCATTGCCTTTACTTAAGAAGATATGTAACTTCTTTACTCTTTACCCATCTTAGAGCATTTCTGGAGACTCTGGTACTTTAAGTAATTTGTCCAAGGTCTCAAAGCCAACATGTGTCAGTAATAGAACTTGAACTCAGATTTTCTTAACTTCCAGGCTGGCCATCTATCTGCTATGCAACATTGTCTCTCTAGAAAAGAAAAAAAATTGTGTGTACGCACATATAATTATATTCACACACATACATAATACATATGTATTATATATATACAATATACTTATATTCCTCTTACATATATAATATATTAATAATAGCTCCAAATTAAAAAAAATCAAACCGTAAGGGATTCTAAATATTTATTATTCATATATAAAGTAGGAGGCAGCATGGTGTAGTTGACACCTTTGAGTCAGGGTGACTGGGGTTCAAATACTATCTCTTATACATATTGATTTTGTTACCCTGGGCAAGTAATTCACCTTACCTGTTAAGCTAAGTTAAGTGTCCCAGGCAACTCTTGAAGATTATATGTTGTAGATCAGATGCAGATCCAAATTAATGTCGCTCAATCAACAAGCATTTATTAAGTACCTGCAATGCACCAGGTACTCTGCCAGGTGCTGGGGATGCAAAGACAATGAATAAGACAATCTGTATTTGTAAAGAGCTTAGTCTATAATGGGGAAGACACAAGTACACAAGGAGTTTTCTCTTTGGGATTTACCTCTGTGGTTCCCAATCCCCACCCCCCTACCGTCAATAAAGAAAGAACATGTTGTTCTTCACAAATTCAATTCAACAAATACTTGCTGTTTGCCTACTGTATACAAGCCAGACATTGTCAGGTGTTGTGAAAGACGCCAAGGTCAGTCAGATTCAGGCTGTACCCTAAAGTAGCATATATGTTTACTCTAATTTATATAGTACTTAGAAGTTTACAGAATTATAATTAGTAATGATGATAGCTAGCATTTATATAGCACAAGCTTGCAAAATGCTTTACAAACATCTCCTTTTATCCTCACAGCAAGCATGAGAGGTAGGTGCCATTATTATTCCATTTTACAGATGAGGAAATTGAGGTGTAGTTGTATGACTTTCCTAGGGTCATGTTCCAGGCCCAGTTAGGTGGCACAGTGGATAGAATAGCCCCACCTGAAGTCAGGAGCACTTATCTTCCTGAATTCAAATCTGGCCTCAGACACTTACTCACTGTGTGACCCTGGGCAAGTCACTTAATCCTGTTTGCCTTAGTTTCCTTATCTGTAAAATGAGCTGGTGAAGGAAATGGCAAACCAATTCAGTATCTTTGCCAAGAAAACCCCAAATGGAGTCACAAAGAGTCAGACACGACTGAACGATAAACAACAATAAACTTCCTGGCTCCAGGCCAGTGGCCCTAGCCACTGTATCATCTATCTGCACCATTCAAGGAGTACAAGTATTATGATCCCCACGTGAGAGCTGAAGGGATTTGGCCATAGTCACATAGACAGTAAGTATCAGATCTGACTCCCTGGTCCTTTCCACTACCTTATATTGCCTCTCTGCCTCCTCCATTAAAGGGACTAAGACAAATGATTATAGTACAAAGTAGGAACATTTTTACTCTTTTTTTTTTGGTTGTTGTAATTTTAGTCTCTATGTCTATAGATGTAAGAGGACTAGACAGAAGATAAATAAGAGTTCCTATTATGCTTTTACATAGTCCCATGCTTACAGGGTTTGAGCTGAGCAGATAAATGAACTAAATCATGCCTGGCATGTGTAATCACCACAGATTTGTAAGTAATTCAGAATACGTGATATCTTAGTAGTGACCTCCTTTCACTTAGTGTCACTTTGGGTGACCAACATAAATATAGACAGTCCAGAGAATCAGTTATTTTTATTTAAACGTCCTGAAACTTTGGAGGCAATATTGGCAGTTCATTGGTAGAAAGTTGTTGACACAAAACTTCATAGCCTACTTCAAATGAGTAAATAAAGACTAGGAAAATGATCTATCAGGAAAGTTGAACAGGAAAGGGGTCATAAATAAATTTAATATTAGGTGACTAGTTCCTGAATGACTCAGGAGACTTGAATACTTTTAACGTATCTGCTGGTAAAAAAAAAAAATCTTCGTCACTGACCCTTGTAGTTCTTTTCTCATTTCCTCCTACCACACCCACACTTCCTCTGAGGCATCTAGCCTAATGGTTGAGTAGGTCCTACTCCTTTTTGTGGCAGGTGTTTAGTATAATCAATCAGTCATTTTAAAATCTCCTACAAAGGAAATAACAACTGACGTTTGTATAGGTGTTAAGGTTTGGGAAGCGCTTTCCTGATATTATTCTTTCAGTTTTATAGAAGGATAAACTAATGATATGAAAGGTTAAGTGATTTACTTTTCCATGGCCAAAAGGCTAGCAAGTGCCTAGAGCAGGATTCAAAAGCAGGCCTGATTCCACTTGCAGCATTTTTTTCCTCAGACCCTATGCTGCCTTTGTAATGAAACAAAACCTAAAACAGACAAAATAATTGTTTCATTTTCTAGGAGGCTCATTCTGGCAATGAACACCAGACGCTTTTGACTTACTGCGTATGGAAGCTTCACCACCAGGAAGGGAAATGCTTTTTACTTCACTTCATGTGACTGGCACCTGTAGTGATATATAGTATTATTATAGTACAAATAAAAGTTTTTCAGTTTAAAAAATTGGCAGATTCCCCAAGAAATGCCTTGATTTGTATGTGGACATAGGTCTAAGAACTATTTTTCCTGTCCAACTGATTTTTATTCAGATTTTTTTTATTCAAGCCACAAATAAAATCTTCCATTCATGCCAAAGATCTTTTATCTTCTTTTTAATGATTCTTCCACTTTTGCTCTCCTCCTCACTTCCCCCAGTTTATCAAGTAAGCACTCTACTGTGTTCATAAAAGGAGTTCCCTTTTAGATCTCTATCGAAGTAATTCTTCAACGGCACCTCACTGATAAAAAGGAGTTGATCATTTATGTAATCAGAACCTCACTCTCAGTGTTCATTATTATATTCACACCAATTATTATATTTACTCTTTTGTCAGCAGCCTGAGTGGGCCAAACCCAAGCTTATCTTCAATGGCATTTCATAGGCTAAAGGCTTCCAAGGGCCCTCCCACAGACCATACTTTTATCAAAGGAGGAGACTGGGGCTGCATATTTCTTTGCAAGGTGTCACACCTCATGGCATACTGTTTCCCAATCATCACTTTGTCATTTCCTTTTGGCTCCTGAGAAATGTTTGCCTCTTAAACTTCTTTCTTTTTTCCCCCCTCCAAGAATTTTTCTTTCTTTCTTTCTTTTTTTTTTGGGGGGGGGGCAATGGGGGTTAAGTGACTGCCCAGGGCCACACAGCTAGTAAGTGTTATGTGTCTGAGGCCGAATTTGAACTCAGGTACTCCTGACTCCAGGACGGGTGCTCTATCCATTGTGCCACCTAGCTGCCCCCAGGAAGTGACCTTCTTAAACTTCTATGTCTGTTGAAGCAATCATCAATTCTAGTGGCCTAGTCCCAGTGCCTGGAACTAAGATGCTTAATAAATCCTTATTGTCATTATCTCAACCAAATTTTGAAGTGAAGTTAAGTGGGTAGGGTGTCTGTGTAGGTCTAGAAATTCAGAAACTGAAATTGAGATTTGAATCACCATGGCTCTTTTATTTTTTTTGAAAAGTCCTGGACTTCTGGTGATGAAAAGCTATTGCCATCTGATATTTGCTAATCATTTAAGTGCTTATCTGAAATAATCTGGTTTCCAGGGTGCTCACCAACCTGTGGCCTGAGGGTGTGTTCTCTTTACCCTATGTGGAAAACAATACTATTGCAATTTGGCTTGGGAAAATTGTGCAGTTCATAGGAATGTCTATGAAGCATCCTCATGCATGTCATCCTTCCCCTAAGACTTTGTGAGTCAGAGAATGAACCTGCCATATATTTTAGTGTAGGGGTTTGGGTCAATGAGAGTCCATGAATGGGAAGAAATGAGAAAATTTAAACTTGATTAATATTTTTTGTAGGTTATAGACACATAGTCAAAATTTTAGCCTACATGTGGTATTATTTTACTTTTTTTTTGGTGAGGCAATCAGAGTTAAGTGACTTGCCCAGGGTCATATAGCTAGTAAGCATCAAATGTTTGGTCTGAGACCAGATTTGAACTCAGGTCCTCCTGACTTCAGGGCAGGTGCTGTGGCCACTGCACCACCTAGCTACCCCAATATGGTCTTATTTTGAATAACTGTTTGTGTCTTCAGGAAAATTCTAGTAGACACAATTATTCTAAAATAATCAGTATAGTTTATCAAAACACTATATTTTTATATCAGGCTTAGAGGGACAAAATATTGTATCTGACTAGAAATATCCTTTCCAGATCTAAATTTATAAGGCTATGATTTTGTGCCTCTCTTGTTTCTAGAGACACTGGCTTGTTCTAATATTTCCTTTAGTCATACTAGTAACATATGTGGAAAAAGTTGGTATTCCCTATGTGTATGTGTGTGTGTGTGTGTGTGTGTGTTTTGAAAGATTTGATTTCAGGGATTTGAATATGACCATATTCTCATTGAAAAAAATATTTTAAGTTTTTCAAAAGAAAATCAAATTTGTCTTTGAGTGCACATTCCTCCTTTGGCTCACTATTGAGAGAAGGAAATACATTCCAGTTTCTGTTTTTTCTCCATTGTGGTAGGAGCAGCATCTATTTTATGTTGTCTGGGCTGGTTTTCCCAGTCCGGACTACAAAATAACTCTCAAGGGACAGAGAGTCCAGTTTGGGGATTATCAGTGGTTTGGCTTCTTGCTGTTTAGGGCATGAAAGATCTAGCCTGTGGGGAACTGGTATCTGAATTTTTAGTGGAATTCCCACTGCCCTAGGGGAATACCTTTCTGGCCTTATGGTAAAAGTAAAAGAGGAGAGGAAGTAGCCTTTTTCTATGAATTATTATCCCTTTAACTCTAGGATTTTAATACTTTTTATTTCTTACTTTTAGTTAAATCATTTTTATTTCATGTTAGAGTCCATTAGTAGACTGGCTTGAGTTAGGGTTAATCTAAAATATCAGTGAATAAATCAGTTAACTAGTGTTATTGAGAACCTATTGAGTGTTCATCACTGTAGGCTGTTGTGTATACAGATGTATTGGAACAGATTCCTGTTCTCAGTCTACTTGTATTAATTCAGTCAATTTTTGGATGAACAGGTAACAATACAAAAGAGAACCTAGAAATAATAGGGAGGCTCAATGGCCTTAGAGAATTGAGGACCTTAGAAATCAAGGATAATGAACTAGAAAAGAATAGAATTTTAGAAACAGAAGAGACCTCAGATTATTCTATCTATTCCAATCCCTTATTTTAGAAATGAGGAAACTGGGGGACTAAAAGGATAAAGTAACTTGTCCAAGGTCATAAAACAAGTTAGTATCTGAGAAGGAAATAGAACTTTTCTGGCTCCTGGGAGCCTTCATTCCTGTCTTCTTTTCATTGCTTCTTCCACAACTTCTCCTGTGTCTGAACCTTTGTGCTGATTATCCCCATGCCTGAAATGTTTTCCCTTCTTGTCTCTGCTTCTTAGAATTCCTGGCTTCCTTTAAGACTCAGCTCAAATGCCACTTTCAATAGGAGGTGTTTCCTGGTTCTAGTGCCTTCTAGCTTCCAGTGCCTTCTTCTTTATGGTTACCTTCCATCTAGTCTTTATCCTGTATATATTTACTCACTATCTTGTATGTAGCCATTTATTTACATGCAGTCTCCTCCCATTAGAATGTAAGCTCCTTGATGAAAGGGTCTACTTTTTTTCTTTATCTCTGTATCCCCAGCACTCTTCACAATGCCTGGAACACAGTAAGCATTTAATAAAGGCTTATTGTTTGAGTACTTTGGGGTTCTGCAAATCTCATCAATGTACAGTTATCCCTTCTACATCATGGGTGTTAGGGGTGAAGCCATCCTCCCCCTCACCCCCACACAATCTGGAATATCCAAGTAAAATTTTGTGGCCCTTTCTTCATACCAGAGAAGAAGTCTGAATTTTTTCTTTTTCTTTTATGGGATGTTTATAGTACCTTATAAAATTTGGGTTGATATATGATATCATACATATATTTTATGCCTTTCTGAGCTTCTAAACTTTTTCTGTGTCATTTGCTGGCTTTTGAGCATCACCTTTGGCTTCTGCAAAACTCCCCTCAAACTCCCATTTAATTTCTTATGCTGATCCATGATATATAGGAACTTAGATGGGGAAAGTCACAATGTGGAAGGGATAACTAGATACTCTTTTCACCTGTGAAGATTGTGACTCTTCCATGCCTTCTCATCCTACTCATTTTCACACTTGTCATTGTCTTTCCACATATCTTCCATAGAAGGACCTCCCAATATACTTGAGGACCTCTTCTCTTAAGGGGAAAAAAGAATTCAAAACTATCCAAAGTTGGAAGGACTCTGAGAGATCATTTAGTTTAACCCCTTTATTTTATAGATGAGGAAACCAAGGGAGATAGAGTGCAGGAGGAGAGAGAGAGAGACAGAGAGATGAAAAAGAGAGAAACAGAGACAAAGAGAGACAGAGACAGGGAAACAGAGACAGGGAAACAGAGGTAGAGCTAGTCAATTCAAGACCTTTGGCTGTAAGTCCAGCAATCACTTAGTGAGTGCCTAAAGAATCCAAGATAAAGGAAGGAGAAAAATATCAGTAGTCCCCATTTGTTGTGATTTTCCATTTCATTGCCCTTATTTGAAGGGTTGGTATGAGTATCAAATGAGAATTGTTATTATTAATGAAGCTGCATTTAATATCTTTTTTTATCCTCTCTTTTGATGGTTTTCATTAATATCCAAGCAGAGAAGGGCAATAACGTATTAACAGTTATGATACAGAGCTTGTATTGTCAAGACTTTGCTTTATAGTGATCAATTTTTAAGAAAGGTCCCTAGGAATGCCTTGAATCTAGGTCTGTATGTGTAGCAAAATAAATGACTAACATAATTTCTAAATATTCAAGCATTGTTTTTGTTCTTATAAGCAAGAAAACTGCTGAAGCCCTACTGCCATTCTTCCTTTTGATATGGAGATAGCCCTGAAGTCTTAAGAGATGCCTATGAAGTGCAAATCTTATGAAGGTCTTATGAAGATTGGGAGATTTCAAATCCTCATCCTGTGATGGGATGTATGGCTATTATCTGAGGATGATTCTCACTAATTTCTGAGAGACTTATTACCAAAAAGTTGGCAATGATTTTTTTTTGGTTACGGGAACTCACAAAGACATTTTACCAAGATATAGAGTGGTTGCAACCTGTTCGTTGGAGAGAATATTCATACAACGATATCACTGATCCTTGAAGTATAGAAATATAAGAATGAAAACACACAGAAGCAACAATCTAGTTCAGAAAGGAAAAGGAACAATTTTCTTTGAAATATTGAGCTTTCAAAATCATACATGCAAAAAGCCCAAAACAGCCATCAGTCAACAGCATTTATTACCTTTGCAATCCATTCTGAGATGATAACTGAAAGAAAGGCTTAGCTTAACTGATTAAGAAATAGCACTACCCCAAAGCCCTTAAAATGAACAGCTGTTTATATAGAACTGTTTTATGTCTTAGAAACA